GCAGAAGATCAGCGAAAACGGGGTCAACACGCTCCTGATGAAGTTCGTCAAGGTGTCCCAACAGCAGCACCATGGCGGGCAGAACGACGAGACCATCACCGCCAGCGAGCAGGGTGAAAGTGACCAACCACAAGCGGCGGGGCGATCGGACACCGGTGGTGCAAGCCGAGGTCAGAGCCGCCGTATCCAGGGCGAGCTGCCCATCAACCAGGCCACCCTGTTGGGCACACTCTTCCTCTTTTGCCACGTCTGCCTTGAAGGTAAGCCTTGCTTTATTCCTCTGCTCTCCTCCAACACCCACTCACGCACACGCACAACCGCACACGCACACGACCAACGACACGACACACAGTGGCGCAATTGCGTGGGGCCAAGATCACTGAGGAAGAGAAGGAGAGCTACTGGCATCTGTGGCGTTACATCGGCTACATGCTCGGCATCGATGATCAGGTGATGCCGCAGAAATACGACGACGGACTCTCAGCCAGGTATGCCACCAACTTCGTTTCGCACACAACACAAAGAACAACAACAACAACCAACGACGCACCGCGTGTCGGAACAGGTTGGGCGCGATCTACCGGGAAAGGCAGCAACCGGACTACACCAGCAAGCTGCTGACCACGAGCACGGTGGATGCGATGGCCGACCTGCCCAGCATTCCCTTCAATCGTCCGCTTTTCAACGTTTCCATCCGCAAGTTTCTCGGCGAGCCCCTGAGCAATGCGCTGGGCATCGGTTTGCTTTCCAATGTGTGCAGCACACGCACACACGGCACACGACCGCGGCACACGCACCACCGCACACGCACACACGCACGCCACACATGCTCACTCTGCTGGTTTCTACAGAGCGGACGGACAGGGCGACTGTGGCGAAGTGGTGGGTGTCGAAGTACTGCTACGTGCTGTGCGACACGTTCAACGTCGTCTTCCCGCCCCTCAAGCAGCTGCAGAACTACCTCTTCTGGCGCTTCGTGGACGAGGTCTACCAGGAGTACTTCACCATTCACCTCCCTCCTCCTTCGCTCCTGCCCGACTCCTCTTCTTCTTCATCTTCTTCTTCTTCATCTCTTTCCTCTTCATCGCCACCAAACCTGCCCACAGCATTTTTGTCCCTTCCTATCCGGCTCCTCGAGTGGCTCTACACAGAAGGCCACCACACTGGTGCGATGCCCCTTTGGTGGCTGACGCCAACTGGTCAATAAAAATGATAAATTGAGTTTTTTGAATAATCATTTAATTACGATCAGTGCGGAGTTGGCGGAGTAGTTGCGACCTCGGCATTGGAGGGATAAAACGACCTTAATTTAAGGAAGAAAGCTCAGCCGGAGCGAAGAGAACACGCAAGAGAGCAGGGAGGAGCATGCGGTCCGTCACGCGGCCGTCGCTGCCAGTTTGGAAGGTGGGCCTGCTGGTGGTGGCCCTGATCGTGGTCTACTCCTACATGTCCCTCTACGGCGAAGTCGGCGCCCTGTCGCGCTCGCTTGGGCGCGTTGAGCATCTTCTACAGACCCAAGAAGAAGAAGATGATGAAGCGCAGGCCCTCGGACCGACCCAAGAAGAAGAACATGATCATCAAAAAGAAGACGAAGAGGAGCTGATCGAGCGGCGACTCGCCGAGGCCCTGCGAGAAATAGACCGGTACTTACTTGACCCCAACCTCGTCCAGACCTCAGCTGAAGGAACATATAACTTCTTTTTTCAATGTAATTATATCTCTTTTTTACATATATAACTATTTATTACATCTTGTGTAACCACCCGCTACACTTTGTTCTTTGTGATGGTGGCCGTGGTGGCATGGGCGACAACAGGTTGGACCCGAGCAAGAAGCGAAGGAAGGAGGACGTTCCAGCGCATCTGGGACAACTTCGCCTGGGGAC